ATTGTTGATCTTTTTTTGAAATGTCTATTAAATGTGTGTAACGCCGATCTATCCATAAAAGGATTTTTATCTATGCTCCTTGGGAATGGATGAGAGCGTGCATTTATGAATGGATGCATTAATAGAGTGGAAGAATTTTATTGGTTGCACGTGATACTAATAAAAATTATTATTAATAATATTAATATTATTGTTGATTGCTTCATTGAAATTTTTTTTTTAAATTAATGTATCGCTCAAGGGCATTAACTTATCTTAATTGTTCTTTAGAATTTCTTATTTTACTTTTATTAAACATAAGTTTTAAAAAAAATTCATGATCTTGTTTAATCCTTAATTTTTTTAATTTCACGTATATATAATTTTCTTCATTTGTTTTTATTATTATTATTATTCTATAACTCTTGTCAATTAAAAAGAAAGAATTAGCAAACATTTATTCAATCCTTTATAAGCAACGGTAACTTACTTAATCCTTTATTTTCCATTACTAATTTTAAAAAAGAGATGATAGATAAATAAATTTTATTTAGCAAATAAATCACGTGAAAGTCACAGGCATGCATTTAGATAGGGTGGTTTTATATGAATGGGGATGGGGGAAGACCATGCAGTGCAGAGTATGAAGGGTGTGTATTTATCTCTAATTCCCAAGGTTGGGAATGAGACATAGTGTGCATTTATGGAGGGATGCATTTATAGAGGGTGCACTTTATGGAGGGTTCACTGTATATAATTTTAATTTTATTATTATTATTATAAATAATATTTTTTAAATAAATTTTTTATCTAATTAAAAATAGGTGAAATCCTTGATAAATCCATCAATATGTTTGATTTCTACGCGCCAAGTTTGATTTCTTACTATTACGTGTTGTAACTTTAACTAACAAATTGATTTCTTCTATCTTAACTTGAGTATTATCATTAAACATTTTTTGTCAATTCAAAAATCTGTATTTTTTATTAGTTTGAACTTTATTCCTCTATATTATACTCATTCCATAGTTCCAAAAGATGATGAAGGAAGAAATGGGCGAAAACATTTAAAAGGGCAATATATCGAATTTATGGACATCCATGAAATATTTTTCGTTTGTTATAAACATTAACGCTCTATATTTTTTATACTATCAAACAGTAAACCATGTCCAGAACATCTTATGAAATTCTTTTAGCAAGTGGAATATTTACCCCTTACTTGACTTTTTAAAAAATGGATCTTTAGATCAAATCACTATCTCTAGAATCTTTTACCAACAATGGAGTCTTTTCAAGATTCAAACCGAAAATGCAGACTGTGAATGTCACTAGCGTTTATTAATAAAAATTGAAAGTGAAGGCATCGTTGATAATCGTAAAAAAATTCTGAAATCACTGTGGGAAAGTTTATCTTAATGAAACATGCAGATCTTTCATTAGAAAGGATACTTTGCACTTACATCAGATATTTTGATATATATGAAAACGAAGAAAACATCCTGTCAAGACATTAATTTATGTAATGCGATTGAGTAAGCAGTACAATGCCAGCGATAATCTTTTTCATTCCATTTTTTATGGTGACTTGTAAACAGTAAAGGTTAAGCAAACTCTATAGCTGGCAAACACTGATTGATTCAGAAGTCTGGTTTATCTGAGTTAAAAATGATGATTTCGGGTTTCTATTAACTCGACTTCATTTTTTGTAGATATGATATAATCGAAAAGAACTCATGCTATTAGTAGATGCGGGCTTATTATGGGAAAAGTTTAAAGAACAAGTGGACTGGAAAAATACAGCTTCTAGCAACATATCCATATTAAGAGAAGCAATAAAAGTATGTGTCATTACGATTAATGAAAAATAAATCAATTGTTAACTTTACATCTAACTTACTAGAAAGAAAATACACCGACCCATGACTACCTTTTCAAGAAAATATACAAAATAGATATAGACAATTTAACATATGATGATCCATTATGTAATGGAATAGTTGACCTAGGATTGAATCGGTTTCAGCTTTCAGAAAGTGACTATGAGGCTTTAATTATACATATCTACTGTAATAGGAGAACAATATTCTTTTGAGCATTAAATATGAGTGATATTAATTGTTATTTATACTGTTTCAAATAAAAAACCTTTAATAAAGAATGCATGTGCTGATTTTGTGGTAAAAAGAGATGAAGTCCAACGATTATATAAGTTTGTACCATCAACAAAGGAAACAGTAACACATGAGAGATGGATCGAGCAAGAACAGGACAGGGTATTGATATATAAAAAATGTTACCAAAATAATAACAAAAAAATAAAATAAAAAATCATATCGCAATTACATGATATGAATATAAAAAAAAAACTAATTATTTTCTGATAACGGCTCCACAAGTACGTAAATAACATCTTGATCAGGATTCGCGCTGAAATGGTCATAAATCCTACTATCTTTATTCATATTCATGAGGTAGTTCTAAATAAATTTATTGCTAAAACGCGTCGCAATTTTGTGGATTTCGAAATGCTCAGGAACCATCAGATGGACAAGCCTCGGATACTAACAAAGTGAAAGTTGTTTCTATAATTATATAATTTAAAATCGATCAATTAATATTATTACATATTTTGCTATTATTGATTGATAGTGCAGGTTAATTTGACATCATCTATTATATAATTAGAACTATTTATTTTTCATATTTATGATTTGATATGGTTTAAATCATTACTACTGTGTATATATGTTATTAATAATTCAGCTTTTCATACATAAGCATGCTCTTGCAGTCTCTAGCAACAACCATTTAGAATTTTACTAATCGTATTTCCAGCAACAGAGAATACCTGTTCTGATGCAATACTAGTTGTGCAATATTACTTACAGTCAGGTATTCTTTGGCATGTGCCTGCCACCATAATATAGGTTCTTTTTCTTCATCTATCTGTGATATAAGATAACGATCTAATTCTGACACTAAAGGCGCCGAAGCAATTTGGAAAATCGTGATGAAGGTAATTGCGCAGTAATAATATCATGAACTCATAATTTTTTACTTTGTCCATAAGATGTGGCTAAATGGTGGCCCTAGAAAACCACATTAATCAATTCCTTCTCAGGAAATAAACAAGGTCAAGATCTCTGTGTGCCTTCTCATCACATCTGTCCGGCTCTTTGCCCGTTTCACCTACATTAGTAAATAATTATATTTGAGATATGACAGTGATTGAAGAAAATCAGCCAAGAACTCGCTTATTGCCTATCCTCTAACACTAATAAAACAAAGCGTGCATCGGAGCACATCACGCTATCAACCATAAATCCATAAGTTTGCTGTAACAACCCTCATAGGCCTCCAAAGAAAGCTCACACACACGAATTTGTGCCATCACTCCTATTTCGTGTGAACGTTATGTTTATGGTAATTTTTAGCATAATTGACTCAGCTAACATTAGTCACTAACACATATAATGTATCCAGTATATCGGTCATAAAGTAGCAGCAGCAATTCAAACAAGAAAAGGACTTGCGATGTTTCTTCCAATTTATCCCACAGATAACGCCGTCTTATTGAAGAAAAATTAACTGAAAATCAGAAAAGGGAAAGTACATTTGCGTGCACACACATATATATTAATTCGTTCTTTAATAATGGAAACAAATTACAAAGCTTGAATTTATACATTGTACGAAATCATTATTTAATATAATATATTACATCCTTTTTTTCTTTTTAATTTAAAAAGTATCTTTATGTTTAAATTGCGAACTTTAAACAAAATTAAATAAAAAAACGAGAAGGAAAGAAGATATTGTTACATCATATGTTCATATATATCGTATTTATATAATATTTAACTTGGTGCAGCAGAAGTTTCCTTTCCGTCTTCTGCAGCCACAACATCTCCCTGGTCTCCGCTTCCGGCTTTCTTTTTCTTAATTTTCTTTTTACTTGGCTTTAAATTAGTAGCCAACAATTTTAAAATCTCTTCATCCTCTATTTTCTTATCACTTTTTATTGCCTCTGGATTGAATAAAGTATTGGTGATTTTAATTGAACCATTTTTTGTTAGGAGAACAGTGTTGAAAAACTGTGCAACGAATTCACCTATGTAATAAAAGTATATTATTTCCTAGCTTGTAAGTAATTTCTTTACTATTGCTTGTCACCATTACCATTACTTCTGATGCTGTTCCTTCCTAACCCTAATAGTACTAACCTTCTTTTTCCTGATAGACTTCATATGGTGATACTAGTGAATGACTGGAACATTCAAGTATTCCCATTCTAGCTTTCTTTTCATCTTCCAATGCTCTCAAAGGAAACGGGAAAGGACCAAATTTTTGACTTATTTCATTAAAAATTAAACGAGCTGTTTTCATCTTTAATAAATAAGTGTTGTCAGTTTTTTTATAAACAGTTACACGTTTATTCGATGCTTTTGGCTAAATAAAAGAATAAATCCCATGTATTATTAATAATTCACAAGAAAGCACGCGAAAAACCATTTCCATCAGCATATTAATCTATATCAATATATCAATAACAATAATGATAATATATTATTATTATCATTATCATCATATCATTATTACAAACCTTTCCTTCACCAGTTGAAATTAATATATCTACACCATAAACTTCATTCTCGCTGAATTCAACAGTTTCATGTTCTCGCTTTTGAAAATCACTAGGATTAAGAATTATTTGTTTTTTTCCTTCAATGATATTCTTTTCTTGTTGATACGATAACATTCCTACGCACATAAATAAAATCATAATAATTATAAAATTATTTATTCAAAATATTATAATAATCTTTATTTTAACAACAAAAAAAAAAATAAAATAGATATTATGTATATATACCTTCTACAGAATTTGTGCCGTATGCTTTTGCAATTTTCTGTATTGTCTCGGTAACTTTAATATTACTTAAACCTGGTTTTATTAATCTCAAAGCAGCCTCGGATGCCCAATGAGCAGCCATTAAAACATCTGCTAATTTTCCTTCCACCGGTTTTTCCTTGGTTGCTCCAACGACAAAAGTACTAGCAACGATGGCAGCAAATCCATCAACTTGAGCTCCAAGTTGAATTTTAACCAAATCACCATTCTTTAAAACGTCTGAACCTTCCGGGTCTGATGGTAATGGTGAAAGATGACAAATAATATGATTTACCGATACACACGTTGGAAATGCAATTCCTTATAATTACCAAACAAGCAAACAAAAATAGAAAGTAAAATAAAAATAAAAATAAAAAGTAAAAATTAATTAATTAATTAATTAATAAAACAAAGTTTAGTTTATCAAAGTGTTAAACAAAACAAAACATAATTATTATTTAGTTATTTTATACCTTTTGAAATGTTTTTTGCTTTAGAAAAAAGGACTTTAACGCCATCATCAATCAATTTATCACCCATCGCGCATAGATCAATAATCATTGCACCATCAACAGCTGATTCAATCACTTTTTTAAGCACGCCTATATTGAAAATAAACAATTATTGAAAAAAAAATGAGATGCACGTGTCTAGATAAATCATCAAAGTCTTATCCTAATCAAAAAAATCAATAATATGTTTATTTATTTATTTTATAGTGGTAACAACACATGATCAATAATGCTAATAATTCCCTTCTATACAAAAACACGCACTTTTTTAAAAATGTTAAACACGTACGATTCGAAACTTCCGCTGCCATTTGATACTTGTTAACAACCTCCACACTTTCGACAGTTTGAACGACGGTCTCGACTTCTTCACTCATTGTTCTTTTAATATAATATTATTTTTTTAAAAAAATTAATTCTACTGTGGGGATTTTTTTTTAGATCTCATTGTCTGTTTCACACACACAAGCCATAACTTTTATTTGTCACGACCCTCCTTACATATTATTATTATGCACAGTTAATAACTTTATTAACCTCACGACCGTTATGAATAAAAAAAAATATATATTATACCATTCATTAAATATCACCCACCCTATAATCCCCAAAACAAAATGGTTTATGATCCAAATTCTTTATCAAACATTGACAAGATAAAAACAAATCATGTCGATTTGAAATTAAAGGTTAACTTTGAAGAAAAACTTATAGAAGGAAGTGTCACTTTACACCTTGTCAATCTTGTTGACGATGTTCATAAAGTTATTCTTGATACTAATCACCTTGAAATAAAATCTGTTTCTAGAGATGGTCAGGAACTACCGGTATATGAATTACCATGATAATCATTATTATAAAATCAATCAATCAATCAATCAATTTATATTTATAATTCATTCTTTAATTTTTAACAGTTTCGTTTTGGAGAAGAAAACGAAAAATTTGGATTACCTTTACATATTGATCTTAAAGATAATTTAGCTGTCAATACCAAATTTACTATAGATATTACTTACAATTCAACATCAGGATGTACAGCTCTCCAATGGTTAGAACCGAGGTATGTTATATTAATTAGTGCTAATTGATTAATTGGTTTATTAATTTATTAATTAGTTAAAAAAATATCAATGATTATACATAGTCAAACTGTTGGCAAAAAATATCCTTATTTGTTTACTCAATGTCAAGCTGTAAGAATAATTTATTTCTGGTATATAATTATTTAATTATTTACTTGAACATACTTATTCAATTTAATATAAAAATATAAAAATACATAGATTCATGCTAGATCACTCCTACCATGCCAAGATACACCAGCATTTAAATTAAGTTATAATGCAGAAGTAACTGTTCCCTCACCTTTACGAGCTTTGATGAGTGCGATTAGTGTAGGAGAAGAAACAAAGGAGCTAGAATCATCATCATCACCATCATTGTTATCAAAGAAAAACCTAACAATATACAAATTTGAACAAAAAGTTGAAATTCCATCTTATTTAATAGCATTAGCTGTTGGTAATCTGGAGGGTAGAGTAATTGGTCCTAGATCTACTGTTTGGTCAGAACCAGAAGTAGTCGGTGGGGCTGCTTGGGAATTTGAAGAAACTGAAAAATTTATTGCTACCGGTGAACAACTTTTAACTCCATATGAATGGGGAAAATATGATCTTTTAGTACTTCCTGCCTCATTTCCTTAGTAAGTCCATTTGGTGAAATTTAATTTTTATTATCATCATCTTGTTAATGTTATTAATGTCATTGATAGTGGTGGAATGGAAAATCCATGTTTGACTTTTGTGACGCCTACTCTATTGGCTGGCGATAGGTCACTTGTTGATGTAATTGCTCATGAAATTTCTCATAGTTGGATGGGCAATCTTGTTACAACTGCTAATTGGGTTTGTGTTTCTTTCATTTAATGAAAAAAAAAAAAAAAATAAACGAATAAACACACACATATATAGATTTTTTTAATTGATTCATTCATTCTCTTTAGGAACACTTTTGGTTAAATGAAGGATGGACAATCTTTACTGAAAGAAAAATAATTAGTAATATAACTTTTTTTTTTAATTATTTATAAATTGAAATAATGGTAATACGTCTATTTATATTGTTTAAAAGGTTATGTACATAGCGAAAAGCATGCCGAATTTGATTCAATTATTGGTTGGCGTGCTTTATCTGATGATATAAAATTATTTGGTTCTGATAATCCGTTGACTGCTTTGGCACCTAATTTAAAAGGAATTGATCCTGATGATTGTTTTTCCTCGGTGCCTTATGAAAAGGGGTATAATTTCCTTTATTACATTCAAAAAGTTGTTGGAGGATCTTTGATATTTGAACCATATATGAAAGCACATGTAAAAAATTTTATCGGTAAATCAATCACCACACAAGATTGGAAAGATTTTTTGTATTCGTATATGGAAACTAATTATGGACCAGAAATGAAAGCTAAGTTGGACTCAATCGATTGGAACAGTTGGTTATATGCTCCAGGAATGGTAATGGTGTTGTTAATGATATTTGCTGTTGTTTACGTTAGTTGACGGTGATTAGGTTGAATCCAATAATAATAACAATTATAATAATTATAATAATTGAAAAAAGCCACCCGTGAAGAATGATTTTGATCAAACTTTGGCAAAAGCATGTAATGAACTATCACAAAGGTAAATAATTATTTATTATAATTCTAATGAGAAATTAATTTTTTTTTGGTGAATTGGTGAAATTGATTATTTTAACACCAATAAAAAAAAGGTGGGACGCTGCTAGAGATGATGACCATTTTGATACATTTTCACCAGAAGATGTTCAATTATTTTCTTCTAAGCAAAAAAGTAATTAAATCAATTTTTATTCCTTTTTTTATTAATTAATTAATTTAATTAATTAAATTTTTTATTTCTCGATCCTCACAAAATAATAAACATAGTGGTGCTTTTAGAACGTCTATCAGAATACAAACCATTTCCACATATAGCAATAGCAGCAATGGATCATTTCTATAGTTTTACTAATGTTCGTAATAGTGAAATAAAATTTAGATGGCATGTTTTATGTCTAAACACAAGTTATGAGCCTATTTATCAACATGTTGTAAAATTCGTTACTGAACAAGGAAGGATGAAATATGTTCGTCCATTATATAGGTAAAAACTAATAAGTAAATTTGTGATAGGGGTTTTTTTTTACATTAATTTATTTATCATAAATTGATTTTTCAAATATATTTGATAATAGGTTATTAAATAAAGCTAAAAATGGATCAGAACTGGCAAAGAAAACTTTTCTAGAAAATCGATCATTCTATCATCCTATAGCTGCTTCAATGATTGCTAAAGATATTTTGGGCAAAGATTGTTAATTAATTGGTTTGTTGACTAGTTAGTTATTATTAATATTTTCAATTTATTATTGCCATGTAACTATTAATATATATATATTGCTTATTTATTTTAAAAATCGGCACATGATTTACACATTTTTATTTTATGGCACGCGCGAATCTTTGTTGTTACACGTTCATTATACCCTTTTTTGAATTTTTTGAATATTAAATGTGTCGTGGATATTTTGATAAATATTGTAAATTTCGAATATAAGAATGTTGCGATAACAAACAATTCTATATAGAATCTTTTGATGATGATTGATCGATCGTTGATTTTTACGTCAAATTCAGTCTTGGATTATTTTTGGATTGACGCTCAATTTTATTGTGCCAATATACACTTAAGCCATTAAGCATGATATACTTTCCTCTTGACAAATTAGATCATAATTTCATTTGTGTTGGGCATGGAATCCTTCAATTTGTTGTATGGAAAAGCAAAACTTTTGGTCATATTTGAGATAATACAGTCAACCTCCTCTCTCTAAATGCACGCTATGCCTCATTCCCAAACTTATAAAATTCCACCCTCTAAATGAACACCCTCTCTAAATGCATATTCATGAGAAATAGTGATATGTTCCCAAGGAGGGTGGACTTATAGGGGTTGACTAATGCAGCCGTATGTAATCTGGGTGTAGAATCTTTTTTGCTTAGAAACACACACATAATAAAATCATCAAAATAACGATGACTTGAGATCTGCAATTATTGTATTTAAATTTGGAATAAAGTTTGGGTATTTTCATTAATAATTAGTTAGTTGTGGTTGTGGTCAGGGCCGGCCGCGTAGCACTTGGCTAAACTGACCAAACTATTTAGTCATATGTTTAGTCAAGACAATTATTACTAATTAAGATTTTAAACCCTTTACCTTGCTAGCCCTGGTTGCGGTGACTTGTGGTATTATTACCATGAATTATATGGTTTGAGCCTTCATCTTCCTTTACCATGACTAAAGACGATATGATATATCTTAGATAAACGTGGAGCAAAGTTTAGTCTTTTACACTGTATAGGTAATTAATTATATAAGACTATTTATCATTATAAATTACATTAAATAATTATAAGATCACAGTTATTCCTTGTGTAAATTAGGCTGATCTGACCAAGATCTCTCGATGATTAATGATGCAATCAAATTTCAGGGAGGGCGTGGCTCTGAGATTTATTTTATTGCACATTTGTCAAGGAGAGTGTTAAAGCTTCTCGCCTTTCAGAATTGTACGGGTCTCATGCGTGGAAAAAATTCTATGGTTATGAACACCTTAATGCATTTTTGTTAAAGGAAATTTTATTAAATCTGACACCCATGGTCAAGGGTTGCATTCGGACACGGTACCTGCAAATCTAAACCACCACCACACGCTGACAATAATCCACGCGTAATATTAAGTGTAAGATCAACAACAACAACCTTCATTTAGGCAAATTCAACTTCACTATCTCGATCATCAACTCAAATCACCCCAACCAAACTAATCACCAACTCAACCATCATCATCAAGAACACAAAGTCACAATAATGGCAGGATGTTGTCAATGCCAACCCTGCCTATGATCAATATCAGATTTTGCTTTTTCATATGTATAGTTTTGTTGTTCATTTTATTTTTCGAAAATTATTTTTAAAAACTCTGACTTGCAATTGTATACAATCGGGAACATGTACACACACACACAAAATGAATAGAATCAAGTAGAGACTCGACCGCTAAAATTGTCGAGGGTTTATTTTCCAATTCTGCCGAACTTCTCATCTTTTATTCATCAGGACATTATGTGGATTTTTCAAACTGAGTTTTGTTTCTGCATGGTCTTGGTATTACTATTACTTAGGCAATGAAATCTAACAAATTCGTTTTTTTTGTTAATTTTCACAACAATAGTATCAAATACATTGCATATTTATTTGAACTATTTGTTTATTCATTCAAACTATTTGAATTATTTGAATTATTATTGTTTGTTTATTTGTTTTATTTAAATTATCAATAGAATTATTTGTTTTATTTGTTTTATTTGAATTATTCATTTATTTGTCTTATTTGAATTATTGAATTATCAGATTATTAATAATTCATTTTATTCAAATAAACTTTTAATGTAATTCAAATACTCATTCATAGCAAGTAAAACAAATAATTCAAATAAACCCTTATTTGAATAGAAACTCTAATCAAGCAGTATAGTTGTATATAGTGATTTTAATTTAGTTTTCAAGATTTGGTGACTCCAATAACTCTGATTGCATGCTGGCAATATTTATTACAGTTTTATGACTTTAGGGTGTCAATGCTGAATTGTTGTAGTTCAGGTAAAATTTTAATTTTTTTTTAGATAAATCTAAATATATTTAATATTAATATATTTTTTGTGATACATATTTGTGGCTGAAAAATAAATTTTTTTTTTTACAAATATACAAAACCACAATGGAAAACATTTTGGATGAAAATAAACATCATGATGATACTTCTACTGACAAAAATGATGAATGTTTAAAGAAAAGACGTAGAGTGTATGGGGAATGTCCAACATGCAAAAGATATAATACTAGAAGTTCATGGTGTCAATCATGTGATCCAAAGTTATTAACTGAAGGATGGACTAGTGGCAACAAAACATTAGACAAGTTGATTAAAAGTACACAACTTAAAGCAACAACATATGGTAATGATTATTATCTTCAATGGATTCCTTATAATGATTTAACAAATATTGAAAAGATAGGTGAAGGTGGGTTTGCAACTATATCCAAAGCTACTTGGTTAAATGGTTATAAAAGTGTAAATTATGATAACAAAAGAATTAGCAAGGATATTCCTGTGGCATTAAAAAAACTACATAATTCACAGAATATTTCTGATGAATTTCTTAATGAGGTAAATTATTTTATTTTTTTATTTTCAGATTTTTTAAATATTATTCTGAAATTCAATATATTTTTTTATATAGTTTAGAAATTATGTTACATTTCATGGTGAATCATGTATAAATAAAATTTATGGATTAACACAAGACCTAGCTACAAAAGAATATATCTTTGTAATGAAATACATGGAAGATAGAAGTTTTCAAGATTATGAAGATCAATATAATAGAAAAGAAGTATATGGGGAATGTCCGACATGCAATAGATATAATACTTATAGGGCATGGTGTCAATCATGTGATCCAAAGTTATTAACTGAAGGATGGACTAGTAGCAATGAAACACTAGATGAATTGATTAAAAGTACACAACTTAAAGCAACTGAGTATGGTAATTATTGGTATCTTCAATGGATTCCTTATAATGATTTAACAAATATTGAAAAGATAGGTGAAGGTGGTTTTGCAACTATATCCAAAGCTACTTGGTTAAATGGTGATAAAAGTATAAATTATGATAACAAAAGAATTAGTTATGATAGGACTGTGGCATTAAAAAAACTACATAATTCACAGAATATTTCTAATGAATTTCTTAATGAGGTAAATTATTTTATTTTTCTATTTATTTTTAGATTTTTTAGATATTATCAATTAGTATTGTTGTAATTAAATATTTATTTATTATTTAGTTCAAAAATTATATGAAGCTTCACAATAAAGAAAATATAATTCATATTTATGGATTAACACAAGATCCAATTACCAAAGAATATATATTTGTAATGACTTATATGGTAGATGGAAGTCTTCAAAATTATTTAACTAAAGATTTTAAAAATTTAAAATGGCATAACAAAATTATAATTCTTTATAATATTATTAAAGGTTTAAATGATATTCATGAAAAAGAAATTATTCATCATGATTTTCATAGTGGTAATATTCTTCAATATAGTGAAAATATGTGGTCATTTATTGCAGACTTAGGATTATCATGCCCAGCTAATCAAACATCATCAGACAAAAATGATATATGTGGAGTACTACCATATATTGCACCAGAAGTTTTAAATAAGAAACCATATACAATGGTATCAGATGTATACAGTTTTGGAGTTCTGATGTCTGTAGTATCAACTGGCCAACAACCATTTAATAATTTGGCACATGATGAATATCTTGCAATGGAAATATGTAAAGGTGCAAGACCTGGATTCTCAAACAATACACCAAAATTCTATATTGAACTAGCATTCAAATGCATGGATGCTAATCCAGATAAACGTCCAACTGCTGGAGAAATTTATAAGATTATTAATGATTGGTTTAATAAATCAATTAGAAAAGAGTTTGATAAAATGGATGAAATAGATTTTGATCCTTCAACAATTACCACAGTAATTCATCCAAATGCTGTTTATACTAGCAGATTATTAAATTTTACAAACCTTTCCCAACCTGTGAACTCCAATAAAGTAACAATTATTGGTAATAATAATGGTAATTATCATTAATCATTCAAATATTAATTTAAACTTTAGTATTGATATTAACATTAACATTATTATCATACTTATAGTTTCTCATCTAATGGATATAAATATTTAAATTATTTGGAATTTTTTTTCATTTGATGTCAAATATGCACACTAAAATAATGATTTTTGAAAAAAATAAACATAATTGCAGTATTGTTTGTTTCTTACCTTTTCAAATCAATGGTTTCATTTTTTATAGTATTGACAAATTGAATTATCAATATATCATATAATTTATATAATATATAAATAATTTATTAATATTAAAAATCTTAAAATTTAATACATGAATCTGAATAATTTAAATATAATAAAAATTATACCTAAATTATCATATCAAATAAAAAGTCAACTGGCACAAACTACAGTATACTGATTGTGAGTTTTGTTGAATCAAACAATGTCAAACTTCTGATCATATTGGAAACACTGACCTGGAATCTTTGATGTTTTCCCCAATAGAAAGGGACACTATGGTACATTATAAAATACCACCTTCAATAGATAGCTAGGTTCTGTTTGTGTTGGTACTAGCCACATCGATACTTAAGAAAA